GCCTTTTCTAATTATTTATCAGAGTTTTCAACAGATTTAAACTTCCTTTACTGCTTCAGTGTCCATCTTTCTGACCACAAACACTCACACTGTGCTTCTGGAGCCCACTCTCCTTCCCAAATGGATTCACTGACCAGCACAAAGGAGTAGTTGATGGAAGCAGCACAGTCAACACAAATGACCACAAACAATACACAGATGTCCCATCCTGATGCTTCTAAAGCTTCCAACTCGAGATCAGGTTTCATAAAAATCACAACACAGTAATTTTCTTTAACTCACTTGGATGTTGGTTTTGCAAGAGCTTTGGCAGACAGTCTGGTGACAGCTTGAAGAATAAAATCTCATAAGAAATGATGGCAATCTAAGCAATCTTAATGGGCCGCCCAAGTGATGTTATTTCAGATTTATACTTTTGATTGAAATCAAAATTTATTTCCTTAGATAGTTTATTATTTACAGATATTAAGAGGTTGTTTTTTGGTTTCAAATCATTTGTATAGTTTTATAAACTTTGATTAAATAACTGTGGAATTCTAATTGCAAGAGTCATGAATGACCTTTAAAAATAGAAAACACAAATAGATAAAAAATGAACAAGTGTAACATTTTATTTTTATTTAACTTGCTTTTAGTAACTCTGATCTTATTTCACTTGGCGAGTACTCACTGCCCCCAGAAGACCTGCAAACCATTACCATTTATATTCAGCTACCAGTCTGACAAACACAACTAAACTAACGCCAAGATCATTTGGTTCTCCTCAGATACAGATTTCATTTATGTTGCACAATCCATCAACTCAGAGTTAAATCAGCATCATCCTTCAGAAAAAGGAAGAGAAAGAAACAAAGTGTCATCCAAGCTCAGACACCGGGTTTTCCACCTTTGTTTAGGCTTTCACACAGAAAAAAACACATGGGAAACTCTGAAGCTTACAATACTTAATTGATTTAAGAAAACAAAAGTCTCCTATGTGTGTTTTCTTGGCAGTGTTTGAAGATGCACCTAGCAAACACACATAGATACACACGCAAGCATACAACTGCTTGTAGCCAAGCAACAAGCTCTAATTACCTCATGTGACTGCAAAACAAACAGAAAAAAATACAATAAGATTAAATATTTATACCAACACAACTATATTCTTTTATGTCATCTTAAATGAAAATTCAGTATACAACACAGTAGACATGTATATGTAAAGTAAATATGTTTATTATATTTTCTATGTATTTAATAAATGTAAAAAACTGCCGTGTTTTCTGCATCTTTAACGTCAACATTGCCCGCCAACAAAGAACTTATTGTATTTACTGGGAAAGAAAAAATAATAATAATAACAAGACCCTGCGGGGGAGGGGTGGTCAAATACTACGCTGCTCTAAATGTTCTGTGCAGATAAAGGCTTTGCACTGATATAAAACATGCAGGCAACAATTTACTGCAGAAAGCCCCAGAGACACAGAGGTCACACACATNAAATGTTCTGTGCAGATAAAGGCTTTGCACTGATATAAAACATGCAGGCAACAATTTACTGCAGAAAGCCCCAGAGACACAGAGGTCACACACATAAAGACAACGTAAACAGATGCTGCAGGCAGCTCAACAGAAACGAACAAAACRTTTTTAAAAAATTGGGTTCAAATTAAAACCTTGGATAATTAATTTTGCATTTTTACAARCAACAATTCAAGAAGCCGACAATAAAAAGTAAAAAGCCATCCACAGGTTACAGTTTGCTTTCTGCAACAGCTGCTGCTGGAACCTAAACGCTCCGATGTTGATTCATAACAGGATGTGCTTCCTGACAAATGTAACCTCCAAGAAAGTGCAAGTAGGCATCTCTGCAGATGAGTAAGAACGCATTTTTCAAGGGACACACCTGATTGGACGAGCACAAAAGAGGCATTACTCAAGACCACCACCTGATTGGATGATCGCTGCTTGGGCATTTCTTTATATCACTGACTTTTCTATATATATATATATATATATTTTTTTTTTTATTTATTTATTGATTTATTTATTGATTGATTGATTTAGTTTCATGAACTTGCTGTTGTAAACCTAGGTATTCAGAAGACTTGGGAATAATAACAGCGGGCAGATTATGTTAGCCGCCGTTATTATACTGTATGTTTATATGAAGATGCCGCCAGAGTCGGACCCGACGTATTCATACAGTAATTTTGCTTCTCTTAACAAAGAATTTCTGGTTACATTTAGAAATAAGAGTCATTTAGAAATAGGGAGAACTAAATGTTTGTTTTTAATGATACATGGTGATTTCATTAAAAAAACAACAAAATCAGTTTTGGCTGCTAAAGTTAATGTGAAAGTATTTAAAGTTAAAAGTGAAAGAAAAACGAAAGAGAAGACCCAAGTACAAGTAGCCATTCAGTGTTTACGCTTGAGCAACACCAACTTTGAATCTGCAGAGAACCCCTTCTCAGAAAGTGACCAAACCACCACAACTGTTGGCGACACACCAACACAACACAAGACAACATTTTAGTTTAGTTTACAGCAGCTTCACTACGGCAGGAGTTTATAAGTAAGATTGTGCACAATAGTCACATTTATTTTAAAACTGTTCATAAACTATAAATATAGAAAACAGTCTTGGGTGTTTTAGTTGACACCATTTTTAAATAGAATTAAAAATGTAGATATTTGCAACAAGTAACATTATTTAAGCAGCAACAGTATTTACATTTCAGTTTTTAAATAAAGCTAAAATATTGATACATTTTTAAACTTCTGTATTTCAATAGCTATGTTTACAAATGTTCTGTGCAGATAAAGGCTTTGCACTGATATAAAACATGCAGGCAACAATTTACTGCAGAAAGCCCCAGAGACACAGAGGTCACACACATAAAGACAACGTAAACAGATGCTGCAGGCAGCTCAACAGAAACGAACAAAAYRTTTTWAAAAAATTGGGTTCAAATTAAAACCTTGGATAATTAATTTTGCATTTTTACAARCAACAATTCAAGAAGCCGACAATAAAAAGTAAAAAGCCATCCACAGGTTACAGTTTGCTTTCTGCAACAGCTGCTGCTGGAACCTAAACGCTCCGATGTTGATTCATAACCGGATGTGCTTCCTGACAAATGTAACCTCCAAGAATGTGCAAGTAGGCATCTCTGCAGATGAGTAAGAACGCATTTTTCAAGGGACACGCCTGATTGGACGAGCAAGTAAGTACATGCGCAAAATTGTTTGATCGGATTGAAATGGTTTCAGATTAAATAATCAGAATGTATCGTTTACATGGACACAATTCGATCATGATGAGTGTTTACATGCACCAGGCTTTTATTCTGAATAGAAGCACTGATATGCGCAGTTGCTAACTTTCCCTTAAAAAAACCCACAGAAAAAAGTTCTACTACCGTCATGAACATAAACAAACAGCTTCTGAGCTCAGAATGGACCTGCGACAGGTTTTAATAATGGTGGAGACGTTACTGCACTCCCTGGTTGAGCTGCAGGTGACACGCGGACTTTTTATTTTTATTTTTTTATTTTTTTATTTTTTGCGAAGTGGTGCAGTCTGTGTGTCTTCCTTCTTTATGAGAGAACGGGAGGAAAAGTTCTGGTTCTGCTGGGAACCGGTGGATGAAAGTCAGCAGACATGCTCGGTCAGGTCAGTTTTCCACAATCAGAATAAGATGATCAGATTAAGTGTTTAAATGCACGTTGTTCGGATTATCAATCGGCAAAAACCACCTCTCTCATTCCGATTACAAATTCATTCGGATCGAGCTGAATCGGGTCAAAATAATCCAAATAGGCTGTTTACATGACGCATTTTTATTCCGAATTGCCGTTTAATCCGATTACTTATGTCCATGTAAAACGTAGCTGGTGTGTACTGTAATACAGTGAGGTATTTTTGCTCAGTATTTTCATACTTCATATGAGCCCAAGTTTACTATAAAATGAACCTTTCAGCTGAGGTACACCACATTTTCTTTATAACTGGTTTGTGTAAACAAAAAAGAATACAAACAACGGTCCTTAAGGCTTCATCTTTCATTATTACTTTCTGCAAAAGTAGCAGACTAGAGAACAACTTAACGCTGAGAATAAATAAATATTATAGTAAGTTTGGTGGGAGTAAGAAAACAACAAAAACCGAGGCCGTGTTCTCTCTTTTCTCTCTGCAGGGTATGAGTGTTGATCCATCAGTCAGACGGCTTCATTTCAGCACCACGGAGAGCTCCTCAGTACCCGGCGGTGCTTCATGTTAATTCTTCCCCTCACATAGTAAACAACATCTGCTGGTCCGCCCCCAAACCTCAGCAATAACTGAGGAGACCCCCAGACTTTAGAGACTCTCAGTCTCCAGCTCTCCACTAACTAAAGTGCCACTTAGGAGGCAAAGAGGGGTGTTTTCTGCTAAGTTATATAAAAAAGGCAAACTGGCGAGGGTCAAAGTGTTTCACACTTCTTTAACAAAGCATGTGTGTTTGATGTCCTTATTCTAGAGGCAGGTTAGTGAAATACTGCTCTTATCCTTGGTAATTTTCTGAAGGTTCTTACAGGCAGAGAAAGGCTTTTAAACTTTTGAAACTAATTAAAGCAAGGTTTTCTAAAGCCTTCACAGGCTAATATCTTGCTTGCCATTGAATAAATAAGTAAAGCAGCGTGGCTTCAAGGTCTTCTGAACAAGTTCAAGACCTCTGTTTACACAAAGAAATCTGTTTATTTTTCTAACTACTCATAACACCGAAAGCTAAAATCCTGCCACATCTCTAAGGGCTTTACAGAAAAACTCATTTTGGAAGATGTAGCAAAACCATAAATATATAAAAAAAAATACATATACTAGTGTAGAATCTCTGGCTCATTATATTATTCCTAGGAGAGTGTAACACACTGACACACACACATATACACACAATATTACACAAGCCCCTCCAGGAACATCCCTGGGCAGCCTATCACGTTATGATGCATGAAATGAGTGTTTCTCTTGCTACCTGTCTTCATTCTGAAATGTTTGGTCTCCCAGCAGCAGGTCTCTGAAGCGGTAGCGAGGAGGAAGGGGCGGCACCTCCGAATCCACGTCGGCCATCTTGAGAGACGAGATGTCCAGAATAACACCAGAGTTGCTGCTGTTGTTCTTCTGCACGGTCTCAGAGGAGGGCCTGCAGGACAAGAAGGGCAGCAGAGCAGCATCAGCTCATCAGTGTGTCTGCCTTCGCTTTGCAACTGTTGACAACTAACAGTGATGTGGAAGATACAGGGTAATCAATGAAAAGTCTGTTAGAGGCTTGAAAATGTTAATGATCTGGGTAAATTAAGGATAGTTGTGCAGACAAGAGGTTTAGAACATAACTGATTAGGAAAAAAATGGAGGACAAAGGTGCTAAAAAAAACTTTCATGATGAAATATTCTATTAAAATTCCAGAATTCCTTGAAGGAGGTGGGCCAAGGTTGACTAGCTGTGGTGGCCATCTTGAACTGGGTTGACTTCAACAGTGAATCAGCTGCAGCTGTACAATGATTACTTTATTAGAGTAAAGTAAGAGTAATTACTATATTAGAGTTTCACTAAACTACATCCAAAGGTTTATGAGATATTTTGCCAACAGAAAAAGCAGCTGCTCCACAACCGAAAGTTTTTTATACTATTATTATTATTATTATTATTATTATTATTTTAAATTTATTTCTACCATATAAAAACACGTAATACAATGAAAGCATCTAGTGTTTATTAATACTAATTTAATGCATAAATTACAAATAAAAGTTCATTATTAAAAACAGACACTTTACTTGGGTTGGGCAAAATTTATTCATTTGCAATTAACTGTTAATAATTAATACTAAGCAGTTTGCAAGTACTGCAATTAGTGCCACGGGATGATATACGTTAGTGTTTGTGACTCACTCTTACTATGACGGAGCCCATGAGGGGACATGGGGGGTTTTTTTTTTTTCTTTTGTGTGCCCACGCACTACTTTTGCGTTACCTTTCAAAGCTTGTTGCGTTCCCATGTGTGTCTGAATTAAATCAGACTTTTATTTTGAAATATCCAGTTACCAAAACAGGATGTGTCGCCATAAGTTCGTGAAATTGATGGTGATATTTTGTGGCTGCACAGAATTAAAATATCTGCATATTAAAGATCTTCATGCGTGTGTCTGCGATACATTTAATCCAAAACTGAATTAAAGTAGGATTATGAATTTGTTAATGAACCGGCAGGCACACCAATAATAAACGGCTTTTGCAAAAAGTATTATGAGGTAACACAATAGTACTGCATGGGAATGCAAAAGAACCCCCCCACCCCCACATGTCCCCCTGCGGGCTCCGTACACTATCACATGTTCATGTGTTAGCCTCTGGAATACTGCGGCACTAAAGATCTGCTGCCACACAACATTGTGGAAACGGTTTCAATTCAAAGCTTTCTATTTTAACCTGTTAAAATGAAGAATATAATATTAGAACAAAAGTTAACTAATTTAGAGTCAAAATCATGTTCATAAACTGTTATCAGCTAAATACCATGAGTAATCGTGATAATTTTTTTTGCCAGTATTGCCCAACCCTACTTTTTACAAGCTCCTACTGAGTTTTAAAGGAGTAATAACATGTAAAATCAAATTTTTTGAGTTTTATATCATGTTATAATGTTATACTCTCATAAAAAACATGCCCAAAGCCTTGCTCTGACTCATTCATGCATGTTTGAGAAATCCTGCAGCGTTTTTAGGAAGCCATGCTGAGGAGCAAAACGACAGGTGGGAACCAGAAACACCGTTTGGTACCAGGAACGAATTGGACCTGGGACGTGTCTTTAAGCCGAACTTCCTCATCACGGAACACATTTTCCCAAACGGGACGGGACAGCAGCAGAAGGTGGTTCTTAAAGAGACAGAGGCCAATTTCAAGGCGTTTAGAAGAGGAAGTGATGAGAAGATAAGTTTATTTTCTATTTAAACATAAAAACAGCATTTTAATAACAACTAAAGGTGATGTAGATACTTTATTATGGTATAGTTTTTAAATACACGCCTGAGAAACACATATTGGTCCTTTAAGCTAAAGTAACATTTCAGCTTCTTTGCGCTAGTTTTTTGCTTTTTCAGCAATTTATTTAACCATTTTTTCAGTTAATTTCAGCAGTTTTAGCAATTTTTTCAAC